GTGTGGATTAAACAAAAGCGAAGGATTTAAGAAGAAAAAAAGTTCAGGATGACAAGGGACACTAAAATCCCCACAAAATCCGACCTTTATGAAAGCTGTAGGTTCCCTGTCAGCTGAGGTTGAGCTGTTTTAATATGCATTGAGTTCTATGGGGAAAATTTCTGGGTAGCCCACGTGAATTTAGTCTGGTCTAGGCTGCAGTACCGCGAGAATCCCCCGAGCACATGGGTTATTCAGCTACAAGCTAGTAATACCCTATCCAGTTATTATAATAGATCCATGGGGCAGGGCCGCTAATCACACAAACAGGAAGTAGGACTCAGGAAGGCACAGGTTTATTTCCTGTTTTACAAAATAAAACGGCGAATAAACCTAAACCAAAACTATACGTACATTAAAGATTAGTATCAATGTTAGTATTAGTATCAATGTTCTTTTGCCATTCTAGAAAAGTACTATGTTTGTTTGTTAGTTTTTATTCAGATTCCCATTAGCTTCTGAAATATACAGTAGCTATTCTTCCTGGTGTCCACATACTCATCAATGTCACAAAAATGAATGTACAATGGACAAAAATGTGGGACCTACGATTAGGGACAAACGATTATAATATACAGAGGTGTCCAGCCGCTGCTTTAACACATGTAGCAACTGACTGAATTGTTTACCTTATTATTTACAGCATGGAATAGTGCAGCTCATTTGTGTCACAGAAATGCAGCATACAGTGGTTACTCTTGAATCCTCAGGTCCAGAGAGTGGGAGAAAAACACCAGATTTGCATGTGTGGACGTAAAGCCGAGGGAGGAACCAGGGGAAACATGTATAATGTGGTCCATTATGTGTGCACGTCTGGGTCGTCTTCCCACACAATCCTGCAGGAGCTATACGCAGTTTTCATTCTCAGTGTCCAACTATACACTGTGTATAGATGGACTTGGCCAACTCGCTCTGGCTCCTGTTGACTTACATTGAAAACTAAACTCCAAGCGATTATTTATAGATGCTCTATTTGGACAACAATATTATTTTTACATGGCCGTCATTTCATACACGTTTTCCTTGTAGAGTTTAAAATATATCAATGTTATTTATTTTTGTTTATGTTTAGGATTGATAGTACGGTTGGTACTAGTAGATAATTAGTATTTAGTTTAAATCCTATTTTTCAATCGTTAAATCAAGATGTTTGCATCCTGATGTTGTGCAGGGCATGGCCTGGTTAGTACTGTGATGGGAGACCTCTGGGAACACCAGGTGCCACAGTGGGGCGGCGGCGGCTGTAATGTGCCAAACTGTTTTAGTGTCCTTAGGCAAGACTCTTCACACACATTGCCTAGAATGAGTCTGGTGAGTGTGAATGGTTTGTGGTGGTTGGAGAGCCCGATGGCACATAATGGTTGCCTCACTTTTATCAGTGTGCCCCAGGGCAGCTGTCGCTATAGTGGTAGTTAATCACCACAGCTATGGAAAGATGACATGTGAAGCGTCTTTGAGTGTCCTGCAAAGCGCTGTATAAAACCAAAGCATTATTATTATAATGTTTATTTAAAAACCTGTACATACAACATAATTTTACAAAACAAAATACCAGAAACAGTTTTGAATTGCAATTGCTTATTAACTTCCAAACCCCACTGTGTTAGCACTCAATACTTTTCCATACGCTTGAGCCATACTGTATCCATACACGACTTTTGTATACAGGCTATGACATGAACAGCTGTGTAGTTAGACATTATGGTAATATGATATTTACAGGCCCAGTCAATTGAGGCTAATGAGTCAATGATCACAGCCAAGACAACACCATGCGTTCTCCTTATGCTCCACCCGTCCACATATGTCACATTCGGCAACATAGCTTAGAGCCACATTATAGGCAAAAACCGGTGCTTTTTCGAAACGCTATCTTGTGAATCATGCACACTCTGGTAGATTGAAAAACAGCAGTGTCAAAAAAGTGACAGCAGAGGTAAATGCGTACAATAAGATCGGCCTAAAAGTGCAGGTAAAATGTATCCACGCTCACCGAATTTCTTGACAAATTTATCCTGTTTTTTATTAGTTCTGTGAAAACTGTTAAGCTTGGTGGCAAATAAACGATGCAAGCCATTTCTGACATCATGACAGTAACAAACAAATATATTTTTTCAACCCCCGGAAAAATTGCTGCAAGAAAAATGTGCTGCAATGACACATTAGGACAGTTATGAATGACGAGATGTCTTTGAACTACCAACTTACATGAAAGAAGTGTACCAATTTTGCAGAGCCATTTGGAAGGCAATTCCTTGAAGCAATTTGAAACAAGCCGTGCAGAAAATAGCACTCCCACTTAAAAAGCTATGCATTTTATAGTATATAATGTTTATGTGGCATCAAGGCACAAAAAAAGTCTTCCTCAGTATTTTTCTTTGTAAAAGTGGAAGGAAAAGTTTGTTGTAATGTGTAATCTGGGGACACAGTAAGGAAAGGATTGAGACCACCTTATCTATTCTACTCTACACACTGGCTAACATTGACTAGCAGGCCAACATTATCTCCATTGTAAAAGAAATAAGTCTGAGAAGTGTCTGTAGCTGCTTTTTCTTACAACACTGAGGAAAGAAGGAGACTGAGGTTCTCCGATAAAGCCCTGGTGGTCTGCTGGTTATAGATTCATATCTTGCCTCACACTATCAAGATTTCACAACGAGGCATTGGGGTGCATACTAATGTTGGGACAATGTCTAACCATGCTGTGTGTGTGTGTGTGGGAGGGCGGCAGAAATTAAAGCATTTATCAGTCAGTACCAAAATGTCTCCTGTCTTGGTTCAAAGATGCCACTTAAGTTAAAGATGTGACCTAGGACATTCCTAATACTATCAAGTGTGTAATAAGTGACGCAGAGAGCATTTACAGAGTATCTAGGGGAGTCTTCAGGGGTGGAGCTGAAGAGGCTCTTCACACCACTGAGAATTAATAGTTACCTAATGTAACTTAAGTTCTACGAATAGGTGCGTAGTCCCTTAGGACTTCGCTAGTGGGATATCACGTGACCCCCAGGGATATCACGTGACCCCCAGGTCACAGACGCCAGAGAGATCAAAATAATTTGCTCCAATCACCAGCCACCTTCCTCTATAAATGCCCCTGCACAAGGCCGCACCCCCTCTTGAACTCTGCCAAGCCGGGCTGGCCTGATGGGCACACACACACACACACACACAGGCCGTAGGAACATGTACTCCCAGCAGGCCAGCGAAGGGTGATTGGAGCTCCGCCCGAGCAAGACCCTCACCACATACACACAGTTCTGTACAACTCAGAATAAAGAGAATAACCATCAACAAGGCTGATCATTTGCATCCTGACCGATGTCCACTCCGCGACAACAATAAGACAATAACCAGCTAATTATAGTGAAAGCTTCACTACACCGATATTGACCGATACCGGAAATGATCATGCTAAAATGTATTTAATGATTGAACTCTTTGTTCAAGTAACTGCAAAAGCAGTGGATGAACTAAAGCGCTAAACTTTCCAGATAAAAATGGATTCAACATAAATGTGCAATACTGCAACTATAAAGAGCTGCTCAATGTTCACATTAAACATTCCAACACTGTATTATACCTTATACATTTATTGAATATAAATGTACTTCTATTAACTGTGTTTGAATAAAAAAACACTTACAACAAACAAAACACGCTGCATGAAAATGTAAATAAATAATAGTACCGTAGCTTTAACTGGATTTCAGACATGTATTTGGCGACGGCATGTACCTGGGTTCCAAATGGTCTATGCGGCTGCGAGCCCAAACTGATGAACTCCAACACTTTCGGGTTGTTGCTGAAAAGCTTTTTGTGACGCTGCGTCAGTGTCATCTGTGTCTCGTTGTTTTCACGTAATCTCCTTTCGATGCAAAAACTCCCCATGCTGTTTCTCGTGGTGCTTAGTCGTGTTGTATTTCGCTAGTTTACCGCCGCGTGAACAACGCTGATTCTTTCCTGCGCTCCATGCTGTGTTGTTGTTGTAGAGCGCCACGAGGAAGTGACGTGTACTTGAGATCTGATAAATTACTTTTAATTAATTCATTTTATACGTATATGTACATTATGCACAATGTATTTTAAGACATTGTGCGGTACCTGGTATGTATTAACAAATATATAATTAAAAAAAAAAAAAGAAAAGAAAATGGATCGGCAGCACGGCGCCTCTCTCTACGCCAGGGGTCACCAACCCTATGCCCGCGGGCACCCAGTCGCCCGTTGGTTCCTTCCCAGTCGCCCGTGGGACTAGTTCTAAAAATAGTTAGTCAGCCTGAATTTTTTTTTATTTTTTTTTATCTACGCCTTATGTTATTTATTTTTCAAGTTAAAATATTAATATATGCTATTACTTAAGTAGTAATCTTAATATAAATGTATAGTTGCATGTAGGTCATAGTTCATCAGTCACCTGCGCATGACAATTAATTCTGCTTTTGCTAGCTAAATACAATTATCATAGCGCGCTAAAAACCATGGCTGAGAAGAGAAAAAAGACCTATGCTTTTAACCAAGACTGGGAAGAGGAGTTCTTTTTTATATCGATTCGGGATAAGTGCGTGTGCCTTATTTGTGGAGCAACGGTGGCGATTTCAAAGCGGCACAATGTGGAGCGTCACTATCAAACCACTCACGGTAGCTTCCACCAAAACTTTCCCCCCAAGACTGCGCTTCGGGCGGAGAAAGCGCGTGAGTTAAAGGCCGCTTTAACCAAGCAGCAGAGCTTTTTCACAAGACCACTGAAGAAGGCCCAAAAGGCCACCGAAGCTTCATTCAGAGCTACGCATTATTTGATTAAAAACAAGAAGACGTTTTCTGATGGACAGATTGTTAAGGGTGCTCTGATGATAATCGCAGACACTGTTTTTAAAGACGATAAAAATGGATCTGATGTGATCTCAAGTCTAGCTGAAGTACAACTTGAGGCAAGTACTGTGACCAGAAGAGTGTCCGCTATGTCCACGAACTTGAATGAACAGCTGGACAAGGACTTAAGAACATGCCAGTGGTTCAGCGTCCAATGTGACGAGTCTGTGGACAGCAGCAGCACAGCTCAATTAATGGTGTTTATTCGGATGGTATTTGAGGATTTCTCCGCTAAAGAAGAGCTCCTCACGCTCATACCACTGAGGACAACTACGCGACGAGTGGACATTTACAACGCGATGAAAACTTTTTTTGTGGAGAAAAAAGTGCCGCTGGAGAAGCTCGTGTCAGTAACTACCGATGGTGCACCGGCGATGGTAGGATGTCATGTGGGCTTCATAGCGCTTTGCAAGAATGACCCAGACTTTCCATCTTTCCTACACTACCATTGTATCATCCACCAGCAGTCGCTATGCGCGAAAGTGACCGGGTTTGACCACGTAATGACCCCCGTTATCAAAATCATCAATAGCATTCGCGCTAAAGCCAAACAACACAGGACATTTAAGTTGCTGTTGGAGGAGCTTTCCGCGGAATATGGGGACTTGTTGCTGCATACAGAAATCCGATGGCTCAGCAGAGGGCGGATTTTGAAACGCTTCCTGGCACTTTTGGGTGAAATAAAGGAGTTTATGCAGAGCATAAATGGTTGCTTGACCTTTCCTTTTTAACAGACATCACAGAAAAACTGAACTATTTGAACTGTGAGTTGCAAGGCACCGGTAAGACTGTCACAAATATGATAAGTGCTGTAAACACTTTTAAAGCTAAAATGAACCTTTTTTCTGCGCATTTGAAAAGAAAAAGTGTTGTACACTTCCCCTCTGTGCAAAAAGTTCTCAGTGACAATGTTTCTGCATCCGTGGCCTTTGATGGGGCTGTAGAGAAATACTGCCAAGTGATAAACAGACTGATGAAAGAGTTTGAGAACAGATTTAGTGATTTTGAGCAAATTGAGCCATGTGTGTCATTCATTTCAAATCCCTTTATGTCAGTTGATATTACAGGCACAGCTGAGAACCTAAGCACAGCCTTTACCTTGGATGCAGGGCAGGTAGAAATGGAAATAATAAGTCTGCAAAATGACCTGTACCTTAAAACACATCTGAGTAGCCCAAACTTTTGGAACCTAGTGGACATGGAAAAGTACAGATCTATCTGCACAGCAGCTCTGAAGGTTGCTTGTCTCTTTGGGTCCACTTATCTCTGTGAATCAGCCTTTTCCAATATGAACTTCATAAAAAATAAACACAGAACACGCCTAACTGATTCACATCTGGAAGATTCACTGAGAGTGGCAGTGTCAAACTATACACCAGAGTACATCAAACTAGTGGACAACATGGAATGCCAGGTTTCTCATTAACTGACAACATTGAACAGTGTTTTAGTAAAACACCATGTTACCCGGTCAATTGATCATTGTTCATTTATTAAAGCAAAATTTGGAGATGACACAATCTCAAGTATTTGGAAAAACAATGTTCTGTGTTTTGTTGAATTAAATTGTGACTTGTTTATGTTCATTTAAACTAAATAGATGTCACTTTGTCAAATAATAAATTAATTTACATATACTACAAATACCCTTTTTGTGTGAATATTGTAAGCTTTTTTGACTTGTTTATAAATATGTTTTGAGCTGGTAGCCCTCAAGCTATTTGTGAATCTTAAGGTAGCCCTCAGCTTTAAAAAGGTTGGTGACCCCTGCTCTACGCAGATATCCGATCCAGTATTTTTTCTGGTATCGGCGCCGATATTGATACCAGTATCGGATCGGTGCATCCCTATTTTTAAACATACAGGATATTGAAAATGTAATCATAATTACTCTTTTTGGTCTCTTTTTGCCAAAATCCTGCTTTAGCATGCATTGAGTTGTATGTATATTTTATGTTCATGCAAAGATCACATCAGATAAACTGCAGATATTTCCTGATTACACTCTGTAATTTAATACCCCAATAATAACATAATGCTCACCTTTTTGTGGCCAATGATGCAGGAACAGCCAATACACAACAGGGAGAAAAAGTGAAAAGTTTTGAATAATGGACTTTTAGTGGGTGTGACAGAAAACACAGTCAGCATATTGTTTGAATCGGAGTATGAGTCCTCACAAGTTTTTCTGAAGGGACAGTGCAGTTGAATGATGAGATTGTAAACTTTTGTCATAGTGTTTTTAAGCGACAAAACAATACCGTCAACATTTGAACCCTATTGTGATTTATTGCAGCAGTCGAGCGACACAAGAAAACGCACACTTGTTTAAAAGTTTTCACTCTGAGACTTTTCGGGTCCACTGCTTTTGTCTTGTGTCCATCCTATAGTATTGTTGTTGTGCTCGGATATTTATTTCATTTTGGCCCTTAAACATGATCTTGAGAACATTTTGTCTTTATAATCAAATTTTTTTAGTTTACCTCAATTAGTTTAGTCTTTATTTGAAAGGGGCAGTGCTTACAAACATTAAGTTCAGAGAGAATAGAAAGTAGTTGAACATTTAAGTTGAAAATCGACCTCTGCCTCTGCCACAGCTATCTTGCGCCGCTAACTTGAGCAGTGGTAGTTAGGGGTGGGAACCTAAGGGTACCTCACGATACGATACGATACACGATACAAAGCTCACGATAACGATATTACCACGATAACGATATTATCACAATAACAATTTTATCACGATATGACAATTATCGATATATTGGTCAGCAATATACAATATACCAATTTATGGCATAAATCAAAGAAAAAATACACTTTATTTCATGATAAATGGAATGGAGATGCGTAATGTAGCCATATATTAAGTATTGATACCAATTTTAAAAAAATGTGTAAAAAAAACAAACAAAAAAAACTTTTTTTTTTTTCAAAATCGATATCGATACTTGGCAAATACATATCGATAATCGAATCGTGGGAGAAAGTATCGCCACACCCCTAGTGGTAGTAGGTGAGGGGGTAGTAGGATTGCACAGGATACAGCAAGCCTGAAAACCAAAAATGTGTAAAATAAAATTCCTCAATTTCTTCAAAACGACTACTACTACTAATAATAATGATGCTGTACTGATCAGTTTTATATAACACTTTTTTAGACAGTCAGACTCTTCACTTTTCAACATCAATTTGACATTGCTTATCACCAACGGATCAATCGCATTGTCTTTCCTGTCTGGAGTGATCTGAACACTCGGCTCGACCCGGCCACAGACGGCCACAACAGAAATAGCAATTTTGGAGGAGCTGGGAGGAGCGGTGCGGAACACGGGATGTCCACTGGTTTTCATGAAGGTCCACAATACCTACGGCGTCAACATAGCGAATTGCCTAAAACAAGATTAAGAGATCCTTTAATCGTCCCAAAGTGTGCAAATTTCACAGTTGCATCACAAGTTACAGGCAGTAGGAATGAGCAGCACACAACACAAGATAAATGAATAATAACTATTTAAAGAAGCAGCATCTCTAGCATAACAAGGAAAATAAGTCTAAAATCTACAACTTTAGCGTGATGAAGAAGCAAGACTTAAGTAAAAAAAACCCTGACTTTAGCATAATAAGGAACAAGTATAAAATGCTGTATATTCTAGTGCAAGTATTACATAGTTTTAACTTGTGTGTGTATACATCTGTACATGTTAGCAGCATGAGGGCCTGGGACACAGTGACAGTAACACATTCTATATCGCACATTCTGACATTATTAAAGCTATAAGAAGGCAGGTTTTATAGCAACATAAAAAAAACATAACTATTTTTTTCTATTCCTCTTCTACCATGTTACAAAAGATTATTGCACTGCGCTAGACTCCGGGTGATGCCTGTAGATATTAGTTTTGAGTCATCCGTCATGTGCTGGAGCTCTTCTCTCTCATGACCTCATCATCTTTCTCGTCTGTCCCATCTGGAGTTTAGCTCTGAGTGTTTCCTTCACTTACTGCGTAATGGGAATCTGCAGTGTGCCTCGTATCAGGTGGCTCCAGCGCTGGTGCTGGGTTTCACTGCTGACTTCTCACAATCTCCGGGTCAGGAGTAAATGCTCAGTTTTAATATTAATAAACTGCTGATGCACATTTCCCACATTTTGGTTTGTAAAGGCCTGGACTGTATTCACATATAAGTATAATATAGAGACTGCAAGCTTTTATCACTTGACATGTAAACTCATCCCTGCTCTGCTTTGCTTGTTTTGATATTTATAGAAATCTCTTTATGAGTCAATGTAAGTGGAGCTGAGCTGTCATAGCAGTTCAGTGCGGTTGGATTCAGGATTGACTGGGGTCAAATCTTGCAGCCTGTCTGATGTAATCTGCCACAACCTTCATTACAAATATTTTAGTACCCATATAATGGAATTTAGTTTATTTTTGAAATATGACATACGCTCTGTTTTTGAAGTGATTCATCCATTTGAGTAATTTCCATTCATCCCCAAGACACTATTGTTTTTGTTTTTTTCACAAGCCCAGATTTTTATGATTTACCTTTAACTATTGGGATTGATGCGACTTTAGCTCCTGTCTCAGTGCATGTCCTGAAGCACATTAGAGAGCTGCTGGTCCGGTGTGGATTAGACACAATGTGCTGCCTGTGCACTTGTGGGATAATGTGAACATGTACAATGTCTTCAAACACGTCTCACTCTACCAACCTCATGTTTTCTGACTACTGCACTAATTACACCTATTATAGCCCAATTTATATGATACGGTTTGGGCCAAGGGCTATAGCTACCAATTATTTTAATAAGTAAGTAAGTAATCTAAGTAATCTTTATTTATATACCGCCTTTTCACTGCAGATCTGAGTCTCAAAGCGGTTTACAATTGTTAATTTTTGGGCATTAGTCTCTCACTCCACACAGAGATGGGAGCGGGGTCGCCAGTACAGGAGGCGCATGCTAGAACTATTGGACATATTTTTAGTGGTAGGGGAAACCGGAGTACCCGGAGGAAACCTACGCAGACACGGGGAGAACATGCAAACTCCACTCAGAAAGGCCCTGGTCCGACTGGGATTCGAACCCAGGACCTTCTTGCTGAGAGGCGAGAGTGCTATCCACTCAGCCACCGTGCCGCCCAATAATATATATATTCATAATAATAGATGAATCCATAGCAATTCATGTTTTGATTTACTGAGGATGGAGTCTTGAGATGGAGCATCTCATGTTCGAGATCAGTAAATCCTTGTTTATGACACTGTTAGGATTTAAGCAGACAGAGACGGATCGTGGTGTGCCAAACTCTGGAAGTTTATTTAAGTTTCTCTCAAGTTCCACTGGTTTACTCTGTTTCTTCCTCTCAGACAGAATAAAGGCAGTACACAGTTTATATAGTCATTGTCACGTCACACATCGAAAGACATACGTGTCACAAAGAGACAGTCAAATCATAGTCATAACATGGAGTCCTTGTAGAGTCCTTGTACAGTCCTGCACGTAGGCCATATTGCTATCTAATACTATCAACACAAATATGAGATCTACATCTGACAGAGGAAAAGCTGCTTAAGGACATCTTCAAAATTTGTCATTAAAAAAAATACATTAATTTTACATTATAAATCAGATATTTCCTCTGTTATGTTCATGTAATGGCTGATGTGTTTGTCTTAAACTCTCCTCTCAGCACATGTTTCGGAGTCTGTAGGCAGTTGATGTTTGTTTTACAATCCATTTACTGCGATACATATCACTTTAAGGCCCTGTCCAGACAAAGACGAAAACCGTAATAGACGGAGCTGGCTCTGTAAATGTGTTCTTCAACACAAAGCTGAAAAACAAATCCATTTAATCTGAAAACATTGTAATATGTAGGGGGTAGGTATATTGATGGCGCTGTGAGGCTGCTACTGGAAACACAAAATCAGAGAAAGAAATGCACAGGTTTGAAACAATGGTTTTTTCAGACGCCAGCTTTATAAGGATGATTTTGTGTGTTGGTCTGAGTTTGACCGTGGACATCTTTTCAACAACGGTGTACAATTACTGTGTAACACAACAATCGAACATGTCAATATTGGTAAAGAGCTTTTCTTCCTTTCCGACACTGTGACTGACAGAAAAAGCCTTTGTCACTCATTGTCTTATAAATGCCACCACTGTTTTTGGCATGCGCGTCTTAGTGCCACGAGGGGATCTTCTTGCAGCTACACTCCTCCGGCTGGGCTCAGTTGGAAACGCGCTCGCAGACAGTAAGCTGTATAAAGTTGTCAAGTACAGAAATGCCTGACACATTTGCTGTCAGTGCGCTTCGTAAAGGAGAGAATAAAGGAAAACTCAGAAGCTCCATTAAAGAATAAAAAAGCTTCTTTACATCAAATAAGAACATTTGATTTTGATAAACGTTGCAAGGAATAGAAGATAGAGATGTTTATGTTTAATTTTAGATTTAAGGCATATTTCAAAACATTTCTGGGCCAATCATCATAATTTTGTTATTTGACTGTAAAAAGGCCATAATTAAACATTTATTGGTAAGTAGAAAAGTAGGCTTCAAATCAATGTCAGAGTGAGACCCCAAATCTGAGCATAATCTTTGAACTTCACGAACAACTAGACAAGGGTCTGGCTGTCGTGATAGAGTTGAGTTTTCCTGCCTCTTCTGTCATTCAAAAGGGCAATGACATCTTATCAATGGCTTGCAAGTAAGCAGCAAAAGTAATTAACACAGGTCAATATCAAATTATGCTTAAGATTGAATGAAGAATGCACCTACTGTACAACTATACATACAAATTAAATACACCATGTGCATTCTGTGTTGGACAAAAGACAAAGAATAGAAGGTGAGGATTGTGGAACTTTGCAACAAAATAAACCGGAAATTTGACAGTGGAAGTTTCTAGTTGAGATGGATCAAAATCAAAACTCATCCAAAGAATCGTGTAAGATGGAACTGTTTTAACCTTGAGTTTTCTTGCAGCCAAAATGTTGAACAGATAATTGTAATCTTGCAGTTTTATATATTTTGTTCACTAACTTTTCTCTGCTTTTAGTTATTAACAGAATCAAATGATACAGTGTCATTGAAGCGTGGCTAACTGCTGATTGTATAGGATTACGCATTCCTCCGCTCTCATACTATCCCTAAGATGCTGCATATTACTCCTCACATGGGTTCATTGCGTTAATTGGACCCTAGAGGACTGGCGATGAGTGGCAAGGACCAATTATGTTAGCTTGTTTCAGACCGGGATATTATAACACTTTATACAATCTGTAAGATAAAAATAGACATAACCATTACTGTCAAGCCTGTCCGAACGCAGGCGGCACTGTAATCACGTAATGCTTCTATAGTGGACGAAAAGTTCAATACAGCTCTACAGTGCCTGGCAGATTATCCGTGATAATGTTCTGGGCGAGGGTTTTTTATGTCCATGAGAAAAAGAAAAAAAAAAAGAAATTAAGATAAGATATACTTTATTAATCTCAAACATGAGAAATTTACAATCGGTTGTATTAAGTCCATTAACAAGGGCTGCTCGATTATGGCCAACATTATAGTCACAATTACGTCTCAAAATCAATGACTTAGATATGGTTGATACAGTATTAGAATGCATAGAGTGTAAGCACAACATATATTTTTTTGTGCACCTAACGCTGTCATTCCCAAATGTCAGACCCCAAAGCAAGAGTAGGCAACCGTTATCAAAGCTAGAGAGAAGTGAGTGACGGACAGGTTTATGACATTGAGGCTGCTGTAGATTTAAAAACCCGGGCAGACATTCATGATTGACTGCAAATAGGATGCAGACATTTTTTGACAAATATTTCCCCACTGCCTCGCTTTAACCGGAGGACCAGAAACCATGGCGTTCTTCCCAAAACAGCAGCCTGAGCCGGCCCTTTTCCTCGAGCTCTGTGCTGTACGTATAAAGTCTGTGTGACGTGAGTATTTAGTGTTATATGGAAAAAAGTCCCAAACAATGAAAACATATCAATACCAAGACAGCTACTTTAAAGGCGTAAAGTGTCTGAAATGATCTAAATGTCCATAAAAGCCTATAACATAAGCACCATATGGTAATCAGTATTTTTATTTTTTTTATTTTAAATGTTGTTAGTTGTTAAATAGGCTAATTTGTAAATACATGATGGAAATGTAAAGATATTTCAGGCGCTATATAAAAAAAGATTACTTAGTTACTGGTGCAAAGCATGCAAAATAAATACAAAATATATTAAGTAAGCCTTGGCTGTTTTAAACATGCTTTACAAATAAAAATGGATTGATTGATTAGGCGGTCTTCATCAGGTCATAGATTATTTTATTTTTTTAATGTTTTTCATGAAATCCAAATTGTTTTGTTTCAGCCCTGACCCTTCAATCCGATGTGTGTTTTGTTTTTGCTATTGTAAACCTTGAATCCACAGATGTTCAGGAGCCCGTTGGCCACTTGTTGTAGACTTTGTAAACTCATTTGTCATTGTCAGTCAGAGCAAGTCGGCCGTGGCAGACAGGAGCACAGGCTGGTGTCTGAAGTCCATTCCCCCTGGGCTCCCTCCACTCTCTTGTTTGGGCCATAAACACGTTCACTGCTGCGTGTTGCTCTGTGACTGAGGCCGGATTGATCTGTCGTGATCCGCAGCTGCTCTCAGAATGTCATCGTGAGCTGAACATAAGATTTTGGATAAGGCTGTTTATGCCGTTACCTCAGCTCCCCTTTATCCTCCCTTAAATAGAAGTTCCCAGACACCACCACTTTCATCCAGAGGTGGGACTCGCCGAACGCTGCAGGGAGAGGGAAATGGAACTGCAGTGTTAAATGTTATAGCTGAATTTTTTGGTAATATCTCTCAACAGCTCTAGGAAATGCATATGCTGGAGCTTGTTATGCATTTGACTTATCTGTGTTTCTCAAACTGTAGTATGCACACTAATGTTCCTCAGCATGGATTCCTTTACAGTTCAATTGTTGTTAAATTAAGTATAAAGTGCTCCCTCACTATAATCCAGATAGTGTGCACTTTTACAGCGTGATTCTCATTTACTCCAACAACATCTTATAACCGCTAGTATAACATGA